ATCTTCAAGAATTGACAACGCCCCTAGAAGTGACCCGCGTCAATTTATGGACATTAATTATATTTATAATCATTATTATTGCTTGTGTTTACGCTATATTCAAAACTGTTAAAGAAAAACGCTCAAGAACACATACTTCCGAGCCCATCATAATTGTATAATTTAAATATATCTATAAAACCACACCCTGTGGGTATGTTTTTAGCTAAGCGCGGAGGAGTTACATTCTTGCAACTTGAATTGTAAGCATACATTAATCGAACACTAATCAAAGATCAGAACATGTACCGAGGTTACAATTACAACTCGAAACCAAGCGAGAATAGTTCATTTGTATCCTGCTTCTAATAAAGACCTTTTTTAAAAAGGCTTTTTGTATTGACCCACACGTAAATAACTCGTCACCTTTGATTTTTTACTGTGCCATCTATCTTGCTGACTGTCATTATACAGTGTGTTTCATGAATAAGATACTATGTTACACTTTTTCATGTCATTTTTACATCCTGCTACAAGTTTGTAGTAATTTTGTTATAGCAAATCTTATACCCATCTCTAACCGTTTCCTTTTTATTTGCGTTTGTTGTTGTATGTATAAATGTTGTTGAATGATTGATATATTGAGCCGTTCTCAATAATTCAATAATTAACGGAAGTTCTGCCAACGTTTTAGTAGGTTTATTTCATCAGTCCAAACACAACTATCAGCATGAGTTAACTATTTAAATAGGGTAAGACCGTTTTTTAAAAACTACAATTTAAATTGGTACAGAAGTATATTAGTTTGAAGTACATATAAGGAATGATACTCTTGCAATGTTTTTGTCGATGGTTTGTCGAACGAAACAATCGAATGGTTTTGTCTAAAAAATTGGGGACTGGTCAGCAGAGGTGGTACAAGCCCGTGACTTAACTCCTTCGTCCCTTAAATTCAACTGTACCGTTGAGTAAAGTTGGATTGGTTGCAGCTCGAGGGATCTGCTCCTTGTTTCTTCCTACAGATATTTTGGCAAAACTTCTTGTAGCTGTAATACACAATGGCTACTACTGCAAAAACATACATTAGAACAGTCCAGGTTGAAGGGTTTTTAGAAATATCGATTGGCACTATATTGGTAGGTTTTGAAGACAAAATTTGGCTTTGAAGATCTTGGAGTCGTTCCAGCTTCATATTGTCTAACTTAAAGTAGAGTTCCATGGAGGGAATAGAACTGGGCAATTCGTTGATGTCTGGGAAACGTATGGGCGGGCTGCGTGCCCGAGACGACTGCTTTCTGATAGCTGATAGTTCTGTCATTCATCGTGATATGGTAACTCTTGGGAATTTCAGCGATGTAGGTAGCAGTCCAATTCAATGATTCCATCTGTTTTGGGCAGTGTCGTTTGTATTCAGATAAGACAAAATTGAAGCAAACTGTCCACACCACAAGGACAAATGTGCAACACAATTCAGTTTAAATTATATAATATTATTAGACGCAAATGTTTTTGTATTGTTTCGAAACTGCAAATGTTTGGAAAACTTTTTGCAGCTTCAAATTATGGACAAAACCGTAATAATAATTATTTCTACGTCTTTTTTTAGGATATTTTCCCGAACTGAAAAAGCGAAAGTTTATAATCATTTATTTGGAAAACTCTTGTATACTGGGGTTTCTTCGCTTTTAGGTCAATATTTTAAAACAACACTGTCCCTAAACAGACAAAGCGCGTTTTTTCTTACGGTTTACTGTAAAATACTGGCAAACTGAATCTTTTATGCAAAAAAAATTATGATATTGATTTTACAAGAAAACTCGCCGATTTTCTTTGGACTCAGTTCTGTTGCTGGGATCTAAATTACTTTTTTTAGTTGTTTGAAAAAAGTAGTAAAACGTTACTCAGAAAAAATTTTAACAACCCTTTTCCAGATGTGAAAATTCCAGCCTCGTCTCTCGTAAAACTTTATCAAATGAATTTTAACTCATTAATAGATGAATTATAACTTGTTAACTCAAAGAGCGGCAACAACTCAATAGCGCAACTCAACACAATATTATCCAGGCCAATACGGAGCATGATATAATCCTATGTAACGTTCAATATCCTAAGCTCATGTAAGAAATAAACTAAACGAGCAAAAATCTCAAATATTTGTGGTCAGTTCATTGACAGTCTTAGTATTGTCGAGATGGAAGTATATACTTCTAGGCCAAAACAAAAATGAAAATTGGCAGCAGTTAACCCGTGACTAGAGAGGTAAATGTTTTGCCACATAGCTGGTGAGGTGGAGTTTGTCAATCTCCAACGGCGAAAACGGCGATTCTGCTTAACAAAAATTGTTCACTATTGGGTAACCTTATTTATTATTATTATTTGGGTACATATTTCTAACAACAGGAAAATAAGAAATATTTAGTACAGAAAAAATAGTAAAAAAAGTTAATTGTTATTAAAAATTGAGAAATTTGCAAAAAACTATATCAGAAATACGGCAGCAATGTTTTTCATACCTGTTGTTTCGTAATTATTTAAAACTCCGGTAACCATGGAATTATACAGACTGACAATAAGATAGACAAAAATAAACGGTAAATTCAATAAGATTTGTTGACTGCGGAACGTACTTTCGAAATGTCAACCTGTTCTCATAACCTCGAATATTGGTGTTTAAAAATAAACCATACAACACCATACATTTGAATGGTTAACCCCAAACAAGCTAGTGCCTGTGTAATCTTCTTAATATCGACTCTTATCAAGCAGCTTCTCGTATTCAGTTAATTAATTCCTGCTCCATTTGTATCTCCTTGTGCTGTGTGTATCGTACAAACGTGGTAGGAATGTRGTCGTTCCTCGGTATTTATTCGGTGCTTGGGAAAGTGTCAGTTATTGTGCTCTGAGTAC